CAGGAGCAGGTGCAGAGAGGGAATGGGGAGGGGCTAGCTACTGGGCCCAGAGCTTTTCTCTCCTCTTCTGCCTTGCAGTTGCACCTGGGCCAATTCTTTTTTTCTCTCTGTGTCTTTAATTTCTCACTGAAGGAAAAAGGAGGAAGGGACACTTTGTGTACAAATATGATTTGACCGCTCAGGAGGGACCTTATTTTCAACATGTTCCTGTAAGACCTGCTTCTTCTTGTTGATAAAACCTCCTAGGATTGTCATCATTGCTGGATTAGGGAAGATTTCCCCCAGACACATGCACAGACCGTGAATCTATGTAGTGAGCTCACATTCTCTTCATGAACAAATTCACAGACTGTCCCCACGTGAGGATAAGCCCCCACCATGGCTGCCCCATGAGAATCCCTGTCCGCTTTGGGGCAGATTAACGTCTTGATTCTCATCTTCATGGCTGGCCATTGATGTCCGGGATTTGATAACTTCTATGGCTGACCTTCAGTCTCCTGACTAGAGGAGCATTGAGCCCAAGAACTTCACACAGCTCTCACATTTTCCCATGAAACAGGAAGGAAGACAAGCACAAAGAGGGAATCCTGTCAGATCCCTGCTCCTTGTATTCTGTGTGTGGTCTCTGAAAGCTGAGCTGGAGGATGAGTTCTAAGATGTGTCTCTGAGCTTCCACATGGAGAATCCACGTGGATAATGAGAACCAGCCAGATGGAATTCTGATCCCTGCCCAACACCTGCTGTCCCTCAAGTGTCCCACAGAAACTCATTCCAACTTCACTCTCTGTTTTCTACTGTCAAAATTCTCACTAAATCTGACCTAGTAATTGAGATCCATGACGTCGGACCTCTGCACACTTATTCTAAGCTATTCCTCCAGTACCAGGTGCAGTGTGCACTCTTCGCAATGTTTGGGCATAAATAAACCCAGCCTCATCCCCTCATATCCATCTCATGCATGCACCCACCCACGAGCACCCCAGGGCTGGTTATGCTCATGTGTGCTGAAACTGGCACAGTCACCCTGCTGAGCACATGTGTTCTACACACATACGATTCTAGGAAATGTATGTCTGTCTACTGCAAGACAGGCTTGTGTCAAAGGCAGTCACAGTCACAGCTGGCTGCTCATATCAGGACACCTCTCACTACTGACACCCATCATGCTGAGGACATCCAGACAACCCCAAGAGCTGCAGAACATCATGGTGGACAGGTCTGGGGGAGGCTGGCATCAGCAGTCAGAGAATTGGCTTAGAGGGCTGGTCACATCAATGTCACCAACGTTCCCAGTGACCAAAGCAGAAATACACAAGGAATTATCTCTAAGCCTGAAAGTTCAGGAACAGACGTAAATCAATTTGGAGAGAAGGATCCTCAGCTTAAAAACTGATTAGAGGTAAATTAATGAATAGCAAAAGGACATGAGATAAGTGCTCTACCTGAGAAGATGTTCAGGACAGAGATTCTGTATCACAATGAGTACATGTCTAGTCCGCACATTCAAAATGACATTATGCCATTTCTTTACACTCACTCATACTCTCTAAAGGGATCAGTCAACTTCATTGTTCACTTACAGCGTTAACCACGAAAACTACAAATATGAAATCAATCCAATATCCTCAGTCTATTTTTGGATCTAAACCATCAATTCTCAAGAATGCTCCCACTGGTACATAACATTATGGGATGTCAAACCCAGTCTGCCTTCTCTCTGTCTCATTCTGCACAATCTCTTCACGGCCTTAGTCCTCACTGCCCACTTTCACATTCTTGAGATAATCTCCTCAGTTGGGTTCTTCTGGCATCTCTCCTTTGCAAGGCCATCACATCCTTTGACGCTTCTTCCAAATCTATGTGACATTTAAGAGCATATTGTGTGCATGTGTCACAGTTTATTATCCAATCACCTACTGAAAGACCTCTTAGCTGTTTCCAAGTTTTGGCAAATACGAATGAAACTTCTACAATCATCCCTGTGCATGTGTTTGTCAGGACATGAATTTTATTATCCTTTGTGTAAATAGAAGAGTGTGATTGTCACATAATATGGTAAAAGCATGTTTAGTTTTGTAAAAAACTGCCAAACTGTCTTCCAACATGGATGCACCATTTTGCATTCCCACCAGCAATGAATGACAGTTCCTGTGGCTCCACATCCTCATCAGCATTTGATGATCTTGGGGCTCTGGATGCTGTGATTTCTATTAACTTTGTGGTGTTACATCATTGTTTTAACTTGCATTTCGCTGTGATGCTTTTTCTCTTCATATCCTTATTTCTCATCTGTGTATCTTCCTCAGTGAAGTATCTGTTAAGGGCTTTGACCTGTTTTTTAAATTTTCATATTTGTTTCTTATTGTTGAATTTAACACTTCTTTTGTTTATTTTTGAAATAGATATGTCAGATTTCCTTTGAAAATGTTTTCTTTCAATCTCTGGCTTTCCCTTGGGCTAATTTTCCATATTTTTCCATGATTTCCAATGATTAGTTGTGGCTATTTCAATGGAAAGTGAAGCAAAAGCACTTTTCACGGCCTGAACAGTGAGGGACTTGATGGATGGACACGAGACAGCTGGCTCCAAAGCCCCTGTCACATGTGATGATGGGCTGGGTGAAGAGAGGGGACGTTTCTTCTGAGATGACCTTCTGAAGGAGCAGGAATGCCCCGACAGTCCCTCCCTCCTGCCTTGCTGACTCGAACTATGTCACATGTCCACAGAGACACTCATTCTTCATGGGAAGAGTAAGATTTCTTCAATTAGACTCTTTTCTAATCCTAAGTTTCACCTGAGAGGAATCTGTGTCTGTGATTCAGTTACTTGGATTGTTCTCTAGTTTTAAGTAATAGTTGAAAACAAAAGTAATGCCTTTTATATCATTTCTGTTTTTCCTGCTATTTCATAGTAAAGATTGACAATTTGCTTTTCAATAACACATTCCCATAACCTCAGCTTATGCCTCCTAATCTTTCTGCACCACTTTGTTACAAAATGAATGCATTTCATTGACATCCCTGATGTTTGACACTGGACATCAAGTGGAGCCACAGGATTACAAGTGAGGACAGTGAATCCTGTATGCTCAGGAAAACCAAATTCAGCTGAGCTGAATAGTACTCAGAAATGCTGCTGGTTTTCAATGTAAAGTTCATGCTTCTAATTTTCCCTTGATGATTAAAACATCGAGATTAACTTGTCCTTCAACATCAGGCCTCAACTTTCCTTAAGTCCACACTCCATTCTCAGCTGATACTCTCATCCCTCTACACGGGGAATACAGAAGCTATCAGGTGGACCTTGCCTGTCTCCTCAACAGGAAGCCCAGCACAATCTGTTCCTTCTCCTTCTCATCACAATGGTTGGGCCCTCCCGGTACAATCATCACTGGGAACCTTCAAAATCTTCTCACTTAAAATCTCACCACTTCTATTTACCATCACATGTTGGTCATTTTCAACAGAGATTACCTTCAGTGTTGTAACATGACCTAGTCTCCAGACATGATTGTCTTCAATTGCCTCCACAGATGACAAAACGCTTTCTGATGCTGGTGACCTATCAGTTTTTTTTTCTTTTCTCAGAGTGATTGGACCCTATCAACTTATTCCCACCCACTGAAACAAATATTCAACTATTGTATTTCTCTCCACATGAATATAAATTTATATCAATTTACTCGGGATGACCAGCTCATCAAGGCCAGGACAGATCCTTCTGCATCTATTCAGACTCAGGCCCAGACACCTCTCGTGAGTTTCAGGCTCACCTGGTTCTGGATTTTTGATCTTGTCTGTTCCTCTCCACTGCCCTGAGCGTATCAGTTCACTGTTCCAGATCTCAACCAGAGGACACAGATGTGTCCTGTATTTCTGGATTATGACACTTTGGTTGACTCTCCTATTATCTACATTCAGGCCAGAAACTCAGTAGTTATTTACTTTAGTAATATCACTGAAAATACTGAGGTAATATGGTGTATGCAGGGTTCTGTTCACGAAATGATATCAAGGAAAGGGCTTTTCTGAAACAACTGGTTCCAAATCAATCAACGTACAGGCAAGGTCACTGGCCTGAGGGAGAGTTCACCAGCCCAGACCCACAGGTGGGGCATCTCAGGGCAGGAGCAAATCAACTGTTACATGGACAAAGTTGTCCGTCAGAGATGCGTGCTCACATATGTCTGTGCTGGATCCCAGGAGAGGTGAGACCGCTGATGAGACTGATGGCAACACTTAACACTTCTGTTGTCCCACTATAAAGTTCACAATGAAATTACCTGTGATCCACAATTTATATATCTTCACACTGAAATGCAGAAGGGAGAGGCCACCTCGCCGTATCACAGAACAAGAAGAGACGGAGCTGTGTCCTGCTCTCCACCACTACTTACTCATGTGATCTCAGACACAGCCCCAGGGTTCGATGACACAGGCACTCAGGAAAGCAGCTCTCATCTACAGTTTTCAAGGGAACCTGCTTCCTGAGGTGGGAGCTTCCCTCTGACCATGAGGAAATCATCCCCTTTTCAAGCCAGTCACTGGGAAGGTGAATTTCCCAGAAACACAGATGTTCTTCCACCCAACATGGGGGAAACCATGTTCACTGAATTCAAAATTCACGGTCAGTGGAAGGACAACAAGAAACAGATAGTTCTGGAATGTGTGAGTGCCCAACATACAGAGTGCTGAGCAGCTTCCACTGCCTGTCTGTTTGTGGTCAGGTGTAGGGCTGGACAATCCTCAGTGTCCACACCCTGAGTCCTGGGGCTCATGTTGTTCCTGCAGACACTCAGTTGCGCACAGGGAAAAAGCAGGATTAGGGCTCTGATGGTCATATCAACTGTGCTAGGAAAGAAACAACAGAAAAAGACTGAGTTCCCTGAAGGCAGGGTCAGCATCTTCCTCCCAGGGGGAGCCCAAGAGACTAGGACCTCTCCTAGTTTCCTTCTCCTTTTTATAGAAAGGCAACTGCCTCATGCAAATTTCCACTTAGGTCACAAGGTGTAAACAGTCACTTAAATTCAGGTTCCTCCTCACCCTGAAAATATTTTCAGGGAGTCGTGAATCTCATCTGCAAGAACATGAATCACCTGTGGTTCTTCCTCTTTCTGGTGGCCGCTCCTACATGTGAGTGAACCAAGGACTCAGACATGAAGATATGGGGACACTGCATCTGACCGCATGACTTACTGTGTTTCTCTCTGTCCTCAGGTGTCCTGTCCCAGGTGCAACTGAAGGAGTCAGGACCTGGCCTGGTGAAGCCCTCGCAGACCCTCTCCCTCACCTGCACTGTCTCTGGATTATCTTTGAGCAGTTATGCTGTAGGCTGGGTCCGCCAGGCTCCAGGAAAAGGGCTGGAATATGTTGGTGCTATATATGGTAGTGCAAGTGCAAACTACAACCCAGCCCTGAAGTCCCGAGCCAGCATCACCAAGGACACCTCAAAGAGCCAAGTTTATCTGACGCTGAACAGCCTGACAGGCGAGGACACGGCCGTCTATTACTGTGCGAGACACAGTGAGGGGAAGTCAGTGTGAGCCCCGACAAAAACTTCCCACAGGCAGACAGGAGGGGCTGGGCTGCAAGGGACTCAGGACACCAGGGGGCGCTCAGGACCCACCCAGTGCAGGGCTGAGCCCAGCAGCAGGTGTAGGGAAAGGCTGGGAGGCTTTCCTCCTTAGAATCTGTGCTTTCATCCTCCACCAGGGACGCTCTCCTAGGCCCTATTTTGTCAACTCTGTGTTTTATGTTTCATTCAGAATACAATATTATTATTTACTAAGAAATTAAGGTAAGATTTTCCCCTATATTCTTCTTCTGCTTGAAGGAGCTTCATACATTACTCAGGTCACCATAGTTTCAAGAAGAATTTGAAGTCGTGGATCTTGGTGAGTATGCTGAGAAGCCCTAGAGGATTTTAAATCACAAATAAATTGTTCTTCATGTTTCTATTTTACAGAGGGCAAGAGGAGCCCCACCCTCCAGCATTGTTAGCACTGCACGAATAGGTTGAGGTCTGTGCAATGTGCCCTGGTGAAGACTTCTAAGGCCAGAGTGTCCTGGTGTTGGAAACACAACGATCCTCATTATTCACAGATTCCATATTTGTAAATTCGCTTCCTCACTAAACTGTATTTCCTTCCTCAAGAGAAAACTGTTGTTATTTTTGCAGTCACTCATGGAAATGTTCATTGTGGCCAGTAATTTGAGTCACACAGCACAGACACATTCCAATTTGAGGTCACAAAGGCAGTTCTCTGCCTTCTGGTTTCAGCTCCATCAAGTAAAGAAGTTCCTTTGAGCTCAACTTGGGGCTAGGTTTTTCACATTTTTGTGCTTGTAGTGGGCAGTTTCCCTGTTTAAAGTGGCTCCTGTGCATAGTGCTGAGGTGCTGGCCAGTGTTCATATGCACAGAAAGGCTGGGAAGTGCCTTAAGGAGAAAATAGATATGTTACATAAACTTCATTCAGGCACAAGTTATACTGCCCTTGACCATGAGCTCTGTGCTAACGTATCAAATAAAAATTACCTCCAAATAAGAGGAAGACAAAACTCACTGTGTATTGGAGGCAGTCCTGGAAACCAGGCTCAATGCCAACATAATATGGACAACTGGACGTTTATGGTCATGGAGCAGGAAGTGGTGAGTGGATAGAAAATTATGAAGAGGAGACATCAAATCAGGGTTTCTGGCAAGACCGGCTCCACATGCTTCTTCTGAAGGGAGTGCAGGCGGTCAGATTTCACCTGGAGAGAACGACGATGAGGAATTTGATCAATGTGAGGATGAGCAGATGTCAAGGGTGGGGATCCTCATTAATCCGATCATCAGGGATCTTGATAAAATAAGGCCAAAAAGATGGACACAGAGGCCAAAGTTTGAGACGTAGTTGAGAAGAACATTTTGAGGAGCTTGACTAAAGTATGGCCAAGGAGTCTGTCATCTTGTAAGAAGAGGAAAAGTGGACACACAGAGACACCAGGGGTGCACATGCACAGAGATCAGAGTCCATCTGACGACTCAGTGACAAGGTGACCGTCTGCAAGCAAAGGAGAAAGGACTTAGGAGAAACCAAACCTGATGACACCTTGATCTTGGGCCCACATAGTCCATATAGTAAGAAATAAATTTCTGTAGTTTAAGCCACCCAGTTTGTAAGCTTGTAATGGCAACCCTAGCAAACTAATACAGAAATGATGTGGCAGCAGAGTAGACATCTGTGGGGTTAAAGTATTAATTAGGATAATAGTCCAGAAAATATCTGTAGTCTAAATGTCAGAGATAAAAGAAAAAATAAAACAAAAAACATGTGAAATAAATAAAATGCTGAGAAAAAAAGACTTTTTTTCAGTCCTAGAAGTAGAAGATAGAGATATAATTGAAAAACATATTGAAGATTGGGAATTTATGGAGTGTTTTTTAATGAAAAAATGGCAAGAAATAGATTCATAGCACACCTAGTCATTTTCAAAAACCTCATAGAAAATGGAATCTATTTTGGAAACCATATAGTGATGAGTTAAATAAATATTTTTCCCTCCCAGAGACACAGCACAGCTGAGGTCTGACTGCTCAGTATATGTCAGAAAGGAAGTCATACTCAATAGAATGGAACCAATCCAATGCAGATGGTCATGTAGGCATTTCCCAGCGTCATCTCCTCCACAGGAATAAAAGACTCAAGCAAAATGATCCGAATCAACTTTGTCAGAGCTGGAGACAACACTCAAATATTTACAGTAACGAAGTAAACACTGAATAGAGAAAAAGACCACATAAAACTGTGTAATTGAGCCTTGTAATGGCTGAGCAGCAGTATCTCAATTTTGCGTTATTTTATGGTCCCTTAATGAAACATTGTGTCGATGACCTAATCTCTTATTCGAGGAGGTGTCTGCTCAGATAATTTGCTTAGTTTCAATTGGGTTGCTTCTTTTTTTTGTTCAGTTGTAAGTTTCTTGAATATTCCTGATGCAAGTCCAATACCAAATAGGAGATATGAAATTATTAATTAATTTTTTGAGGAATCTCCATACCCTTTTCCGTAGTGGCTGCACCAGTTTGCATTCCCACCAGCAGTGTATGAGAGTTCTTTTTCACCACAACCTCTCCAACATTTGTTACTATTAGTTTTAGATATTTTTGTCACTCTAATGGGTGTAAGGTGATATCTTAGGGTAGTTTCGATTTGCATTTCCCTGATGATCAGCGATGATGAACATCTTTTCATGTGCCTAGTGTCCATCCATGTTTCTTCTTGGGAGACATGTCTGTTCATGTCTCCTGCTCATTTCTTGATCGGGTTGTTCGATTTTTTGTTGTTGACTTGTGTGAGTTCTTTATATATTGTGTATATTAAGCCTGTGTCCGATGTATGACTTGCAAATATTGTTGCCCAGTTAGTGGGCTGTTTTTTTGTTTCAATCCTGTTTTCATTTGCCTTGAAGAAGCTTTTTATTCTGATGAAGTCCCATTGTTTATTCTTTCTATTGTTTCCCTTCTCTGAGAAGGCATGGTGTCCGAAAAGATCCTTTTAATACTGATGTCAAAGAGTGTACTGCCTACATTTTCTTCTGGAAGCCCTAGGGTTTCATGTCTCACCATTAGGTCTTTGATCCATTTTGAATTTATTTTCGTGAATGTTGAGAACGAATGGCCAATTTTCATTCTTTTACATGTGGCTTTCCAGTTTTCCCAGCACCATTTGTTGAAAAGACTCTTTTCTCCATTGTAGGCCCTCAGCTCCTTTGCTGAAGATAAGCTGTCCGTAGATGTGTGGTTTTATTTCTGTGCTTTCAATTCAGTTCCATTGATCTGCGCACCTGTTTTTATACCAGTATTGTGCTGTTTTGATTACCGTAGCTTTGTAGTATGTTTTGAAGTCAAGGATTGTGATGCCTCCCGTTTTGTTCTTTTTTCTCAGGATTGCTTTAGCAATTTGGGGTCTTTTGTTGCCCCATGTGAATTTTAGGATTCTTTGTTCTAATTCTGTAAAGAATGTCTTTGGGATTCTGATTGGGATAACATTGAATCTGTAGATTGCTTTAGGTAGAATGGACATTTTAACTATGTTTATTCTTCCAATCCATGTACATGGAATGTCTTTCCATCTCTTTATGTTGTCAACCATTTCTTTCAGAAAAACCTTGTAATTTTCATTGTATAGGTCTTTCACGTCCTTAGTTAAATTCACTCCAAGTTATTTTTTTCTTTATGTAGCGATTGTGAATGGTATTGTGTTCTTGAGTTCTTTTTCTGTTAGTTCGTTATTAGAGTATAGAAATGTTACGGATTTGGGCAAATTGATTTTTACCCCTGCAACTTTGCTGTGGTTGTTGATTACTTCTAAAAGTTTTCCAGTGGATTCTTTGGGGTTTTCTACATACAAGATCATGTTGTCTGCAAACAGCAAGAGTTTCACTTCTTGCCTCCCTATTTGGATTCCTTTTATTCCTTTTTCTTGCCTAATTGCTTTGGCCAAAACTTCCACCACTATGTTAAATAAGAGTGGTGATAGAGGTGATAGATAAGGTTAGATAGAGAGTGTCTCGTTCCTGTTCTCAGGGGGATGGCGGTCAGTTTTTGCCCATTGAGTATGATGTTGGCTGTGGGTTTGTCATATAGGACTTTTATTATGTTGAGGTAGTTCCCTTCTATCCCCATTATGCTCAGAGTTTTGATCATAAATGGCTATTGGATCTTTTCAAATGCTTTCTCTGCATCTATTGAGATGATCATGTGGTTTGTATTCCTCAGTTTGTTGATGTGGTGTATCCCGTTGATTGATTTGCGGATGTTGAACTATCCCTGTGTCCCTGGTATGAATGCAACTTGATCATGATTTATGATCCTTTTGATGAATTGCTGGATTCGGGTTGCCAAAATTTTCTTGAGAATTTTTCATCGATGTTCATTAGCGATATTGGTCTGTAGTTCTCTTTTGTCATGCTGTCCTTGTCAGGCTTTGGTACCAGCGTGATCTTGGCCTCGTAGACTGTGTTAGGAAGTGTTCCAGCCTCCCTAAGTTTTTGGAATAGCTTGAAAAGGATAGGTATTAAATCCTCTCTGAACGTTTGGTAGAATTCCCCAGGAAAGCCATCTGGTCCTGGGGTTTTAATATTTGGGATGCTTTTGATTGGTGTTTCAATCTCTTTCCTTGTGACTGGCCTGTTCAAATTGTCTGCTTCTTCTTGAATGAGCTTTGGGAGATTGTAGGAGTCCAAGAATTTATCCATTTCCTCTAGGTCATCCATTTTGTTGGCATATAATTTTTCGTAGTATTCTCTTATAATCCGTTGTATTTTGTGGAGTCTGTTGTTATTTCTCCTCTTTCATTTCGGATTTTGTTTATTTGAGCTTTCTCCCTTTTTTTCTTTGTAAGTCTGGCTAGGGGTTTGTCAGTTTTATTTATCTTCCCAAAGAACCAGCTGTTTGTTTCATTGATCCTTTCTACTGACTTTTTTGTTTCAATAGCATTTATTTCTGCTCTGATTTTTATTATTTCTCTCCTTCTGCTGACTTTGGGCTTTGTTTGTTCTCCTTTCTTTAATT